TGGGGCGAAGCTCCACGCTGGCACGTTTCATCCCCTCCTGCTGTGTCCCGTGGCTGAGCTGTGTGCAGCTTTAAGGGATTTACTGCTGCCAGCCAGCAGATGTAAGCGTGTGTATGTGTGTGTGTCTGTGTGCACGCGCATGTACAGAAACACTCTTTGATGGATCACCCTGGAAAACCCTGATGAGTTGGCATTTCTCCAGCAGCAAAACTCCAGAAATCCTGGCTCCCCAAACCTTCTCTCCAGGAGGTTCTTAAAGAGGAACCCCTCCCCTCCCTTCCCCTCCCAGCTCAGAAATCCAAGATCTCTCTGCTTATCCTCTCCTGGTCCCCTCCTGCAAGGACACTATGACAGCCATTTCCCCACCTGAAAACCTGATACCCCCCACCCAGCCTTCCATAAGCATGTGCTTAGTGTGCTTAATGGTTAATACACCACTGTCTTTCATATGGATTGGACTACAACTCCCGCACTCCCCCTCCAACCACTGCTGCAGTCCACTCTAGCAGAAGGGTGCCAGGTTTGAGGAGGGCAATTCAGAAGTGCTATGTGTCCAACTCCACCTACTATACCATATCCTATTTACAAGGGATTTGCTCTCCTGTGGAATTCTCAGATCTAAGCCCCTCCCAGCCAAAAGCTATGAGAGAACAACCTCCCCCCCCTTCCAAAGATTCATTAAAATGATGATCCCATCAAAATTAAAACAGAGCTAGGTCTTCTATGCACGTGGAAGGCACAGCTCTTATAAGCAATTTCTTGAAAAAGAATCTTCCTTGAACACAAACTTTGTTCTTGCAATTCACAGTACAGGAAACAGAACAAAATTTATTTTTATTTTATTTTTACTTTCTTTTATCTTCTTTCTCTTCCCTTCTGTAAGCCGCCCAGAGTCCTTCGGGATTGGGCAGCCTATAAATAAAATTAAACTTACAAACTTACAAAAAGGGGAAGTAACAGTGGCAGGTTGAAATGAGGACACCTCATTAATGGCAACACTCCCTCTGCTCCTTTTCCCCCTCCTCTTCCCAAATCTAGATGCCAGAAAAGGTAGAAGTGAAAGCAAGCAGAAAACC